AAACTTCAGTCAGGAGAACAACTGAGACAATCCATCCACATTACGAAGTTAGCCATTAATATACTGCAACAACATGGGAATAGAGCAGCTGTGATAGAATACAGCATTAAGGAATCAATGGTACAGAAGTGGAGGAAGCAAGAAGAATGAGTTGAATAAGGTTTGATTTCTCTGACTGCTTTGTTTCACTTAATGTGCCTTATAATCCCGTGCACCTTATGGTCTGAAAAATACGTATTTGCAATTTTATTTGCCACACTGCAGTTTAATGTTGCAAAGCACTTCTTTTTAACTTCAGTGGATATTATACATGGTTATGCTCAGGATATGTCAGCACATTTCTACTGGAAATTTTTTTTGGTTAAATTTTCAGCAAGAAATTTGCATTTGCACTGTTAAATTTTTATATAGTTTTAATGTACATAAAAAAACAGCTGCTTGTTTAAGTGAAAATAAATGGATGGGGGGTAGGGGGGTGGGGGTTGCGCTAGTAAAGTTGTGGAGTTGTATTTCGTCTCGCATCAATTATATCGTCAGTTATATCGTTATCGCAAATTGTCAAATCTATATCGTGATAAATATTTTTGGCCATATCGCCCTGCTCTAGTGCTTGGAAATGTTGTAGGTGGCTGAGTTTATGTTGCTACCAATGAGTCTGAGTGGGACTCCTTCTTTGTGGATCTATGGAAGTTCATATATACAGGGTGTAGGGCTGCCACGATTAGTCGACTAGTCACGATTATGTCGACTATCAAAATCGTTGACAACTGATTTAATAGTCGACGTGTCGTTTGAAGCTTTGTAAGATCACAAAAGATGCAGGAATAAGTAGCAGGATTTAAGAGTGTAATCACGGACTGAAACAGAAGATGGCAGCACTGCACATACAAGGATGCCAGCTGCCGTTAAACCCCGAAGAAGTAGTAGAAGCTGTGTCCCAGAATTCATAGCGCAACCCAGCTCAGTTTCCAACAATGGCGGCAGCTAGTTAGTTTTAATATTATTCTTATTATTCTTTCTGGGTCACAAAATAAACGTTTAACATATTTTCAGGCGAGAATGTAGCTGTGTAAACCTCAAATATCTTTTCAAGTTCTTGTAGGCAGCTGATGACTTTCTTTTTGTAGTTGCTTCTGGGGTTTCACCTTGAAGCTTCATAGGTATTGTTGTCACTGAGTGTAGTAATGTTAATTTGCTCTGCTTCTTCTTGTCAGGGACACATACTTTTGTGTCCCAGCTGAGTAACAGGAGGAGAAGAGTCTGGTGGAGCAGCAGAGGAACAGTTTCAGCCATTTGGACTCAGCTCAGCCACTACAGAGGAAACAATGACTTCAACACAAAAGGTGAGAAAAATATCTCAGTTACACTGTTATTGAAACTGTGTGCACAGCTGGTTGTTATCAGCAGCTTTATCTTTTTCATCCTGGGCTCCTCCATACAATACAGAATCTACGTTCACAAACAAAAACCACAGAAGTTACAAGGAAATACAAAGATCATTTTTAAAAAATATTTTTTGGGGGATTTCTCCATAGTAGCAGACAATGACAAAAGGAAAAAGTACACAAGAACCAGAACAGAACAAAATAGAGCTCAGGCAATACAAAGTTCTGAGGCACATACAAGGCAGTTGAGGTAAACCACAACCCCACTAGGAATCAAAACAAACCAATAAGACCAATATTCAGGCAAATTAATTCAGTTTGGGAAAGCCCCGTAGCAAGGAGGATGACCATACAGGTCCAACGTATTTCAGATATGGGTCCCAGGTTCTGTGGAAAGAGTCCAAGGTGAAGTTGAGCATACAAGTTATATATTCATTGGGAATACAGTCCACAGTGTTATGCCAGAATTTCTTAGTTGGGATTGCTGGCCTGCCCCAGAGGAGCAGGATATTCTTCCTGGCCGCAAAAGATAACAGCTGGAACAGTCTCTTGTGCTTGCCTTTGATAACCGAATTGTCCATTACTCCCAGTATGAGACAGAGAGGGTCCAGAAGAACAACAGAAAAGATCATATTTTATCAGCACACACTGAAACAACAATATCATCAGCTGAACTAAGAATTGTTTATTTATATTTCCTATCACTTTATAGCTTCACATAAAGACGAGCATGTACACAGCAATGTGTTAGATGTTTTATACCTAAGAGACAAATATTGTTTTTTTTAATATGTTGGCATTACTAAATCTGTCTGAATGCTTACAAATATGGGTACAAATTTCTTACAGGCTGTGAAAACTGTTTCTGATAGAATGAAGAGTAGACTGGTATATTAAATATTCCTTTATTGGGTGAGAAAATCAAACCATGTCATAACTGCTTTAAGTCATACAGAATAGATATCAGAGGCTTAAACAGGCTGACTTCTGCTAAATGGGTCAAACTGGGCAGAAAGTATACAAACACATAACATCCTTATACAGGGAGTGCAGAATTATTAGGCAAATGAGTATTTTGTCCACATCATCCTCTTCATGCATGTTGTCTTACTCCAAGCTGTATAGGCTCTAAAGCCTACTACCAATTAAGCATATTAGGTGATGTGCATCTCTGTAATGAGAAGGGGTGTGGTCTAATGACATCAACACCCTATATCAGGTGTGCATAATTATTAGGCAACGTCCTTTCCTTTGGCAAAATGGGTCAAAAGAAGGACTTGACAGGCTCAGAAAAGTCAAAAATAGTGAGATATCTTGCAGAGGGATGCAGCAGTCTCAAAATTGCAAAGCTTCTGAAGCGTGATCATCGAACAATCAAGCGTTTCATTCAAAATAGTCAACAGGGTCGCAAGAAGCGTGTGGAAAAACCAAGGCGCCAAATAACTGCCCATGAACTGAGAAAAGTCAAGCGTGCAGCTGCCAAGATGCCACTTGCCACCAGTTTGGCCATATTTCAGAGCTGCAACATCACTGGAGTGCCCAAAAGCACAAGGTGTGCAATACTCAGAGACATGGCCAAGGCAAGAAAGGCTGAAAGACGACCACCACTGAACAAGACACACAAGCTGAAACGTCAAGACTGGGCCAAGAAATATCTCAAGACTGGTTTTTCTAAGGTTTTATGGACTGATGAAATGAGAGTGAGTCTTGATGGGCCAGATGGATGGGCCCGTGGCTGGATTGGTAAAGGGCAGAGAGCTCCAGTCCGACTCAGACGCCAGCAAGGTGGAGGTGGAGTACTGGTTTGGGCTGGTATCATCAAAGATGAGCTTGTGGGGCCTTTTCGGGTTGAGGATGGAGTCAAGCTCAACTCCCAGTCCTACTGCCAGTTTCTGGAAGACACCTTCTTCAAGCAGTGGTACAGGAAGAAGTCTGCATCCTTCAAGAAAAACATGATTTTCATGCAGGACAATGCTCCATCACACGCGTCCAAGTACTCCACAGCGTGGCTGGCAAGAAAGGGTATAAAAGAAGAAAAACTAATGACATGGCCTCCTTGTTCACCTGATCTGAACCCCATTGAGAACCTGTGGTCCATCATCAAATGTGAGATTTACAAGGAGGGAAAACAGTACACCTCTGAACAGTGTCTGGGAGGCTGTGGTTGCTGCTGCACGCAATGTTGATGGTGAACAGATCAAAACACTGACAGAATCCATGGATGGCAGGCTTTTGAGTGTCTTTGCAAAGAAAGGTGGCTATATTGGTCGCTGATTTGTTTTTGTTTTGTTTTTGAATGTCAGAAATGTATATTTGTGAATGTGGAGATGTTATATTGGTGTCACTGGTAAAAATAAATAATTGAAATGGGTATATATTTGTTTTTTGTTAAGTTGCCTAATAATTATGCACAGTAATAGTCACCTGCACACACAGATATCCCCCTAAAATAGCTAAAACTAAAAACAAACTAAAAACTACTTCCACAAACATTCAGCTTTGATATTAATGAGTTTTTTGGGTTCATTGAGAACATGGTTGTTGTTCAATAATAACATTATTCCTCAAAAATACAACTTGCCTAATAATTCTGCACTCCCTGTATGTTCATATACTTATTTTTAAGGATTCGCGCGATTGCAGAGTGAAAGCAAAAAACGAGCGCAAATTCAAACGTGATTTCAATATGTCACATATTGACAGTGGCTCACCGATGCCAATGACATAATTACCCAGCTACATTTCCGAAAGAATGCAAAAGCATTGACATATATTTTTCCTTTCTATGACAGCCCAACGGGCAGGGCAGAGATAGATTTTGGTAGCCCGACTGGAAAAATCGCTAGCCCCGGGACGTCGGGCTAGCTATTTTGCGAGCCCTGGATGTAACACTATAGATCAACTTAGCTCAGAATATATAAAGCATATAAACAATTACAGCAATATGATGCAACTGTTAGGATGCCTGGGTCGTTGACCCAGGGTTTTTGAGTTTATTATATTATTTATCATCTCTAGTCTTTGGTTTCTTTGAGTTCTGTCTTATGGTTTATGTCTCTGTCTTTTCTAGTTGCTCTGTCTCCCCTGTCAGCTGTATCCCCTTGTCTAGTTCGCGTCTCTGTGTATCCTTAGTTGCTATATCCCCGTGTCCAGTCAGTGTCTGTGTCTGCCCTGGTCCCACGTCTCTGTTCCCTCTGTTGCAGTGCCTGCATGTGAGTCTGTGTCTTTAGTTCAGTCTGTGTTATGTTTCCTGTTTTACTTTGAAAGTCCGTGTCTCATGTATATGCGTCTGGTTTTGCTTCCTTTGTCTCGTTAGACCTGATTTGCCCCAGCTGTGTTTCCCTCCTGTTACCCATTCCCTGATTGCTCCCTCTGTGTATTTAAGCCCTGTGTTTCTCTGTGTCTGTGTCGTGGTCTACCCTAATTTATGCTGTGTGTGCTGTCTGCCTGCTCATGTATGTTTATTTGGATTTTTGGATTTTTGTTACGTTTGCCAGCAATAAAAGCTGAGTTTTGAAATACACTTTTGCCTCCGAGTGTCTGCACTTTGGGTCCTCCTTACCACCACTCCTGCCTGCACACAGCCCAAACGTGACAGAAGACCACGACCAGAACATGGACCCCGCAGACTCTTCAGCTTTTGAATTCAACACTGAGATGGTGCGGATGATTAAGCTTCTTGGCCGCATTGCTCAGGCCAATGATTTGAGGACTATGGCAGTTAGGCTAAGTGCCATAGATGCTATCATTTGGAGCAACCCTCGGCTTACTCAGCTTTCTACGGACACTGTGCTGGGCAGCTCCATAGCTGCCTGGAGGGAGCAAGTCAGGGCTGGCGAGCTTGCTCTCTCTACCTCCACTTCTTTACCGCCGCTCCAGGACAACACACACTCACCACCTGCCTCATTGCTACCACAGACTTCCTCTCCTTCCTCATGCAGGCCGGGACCTTGTTCGCCTGTCCATTCGCCTGCCTTTTTCCTGGCGGCTATGTGGTCGGAGGATGAGGAGGAGGTCTCTACATTTCTCCACCGGTTCCTGTTCCCTCATCTAGAAGGAAGCGACGCCACCGTCACTCCTCTCCTCGGTCATCCATCCAGCAACCAGCCTCCGCTGGAGGGTCCGAGGGGCCCGTCCAGCAACCAGCCTCCGCTGGAGGGTCCGAGGGGCCCGTCCAGCAAGCTGCCTCTGCTGGAGGGTCCGAGGGGCCCGTCCAGCAAGCTGCCTCCGCTGGAGGGTCCGAGGAACTGCTTCAGCCGTCTGTTCCTGCTGGAGCCGTCTGTTCGCCACAAGAACAGTTTCTTCCCCTCTGCTGTTGGACACATGAACAATAACCACATGACTGTCCCCGCCACTCACACATGACCCTACGCTGTGTCACTGCATCATTTCATGTCTGGCACTGATCACCACCTGCACTCATGTATATATCCTTCTACGTAGCACTCTTAATTCTTATTCTCATGTATATATCTAATGTATATCTCATGCACATATCTTTCTTTCTACATGGCACTTTAATTCTTATTGTTTGCACTGAAGCACCGCAGCAAATTCCTAATGTTGTAAACCTCAACATCTGGCAATAAACCCATTCTGATTCTGATTCTGATTCTGATTCTGATTCTGAGGGTCCGAGGGGCCCGTCCAGCAACCTGCCCGGCAGGTCGCCGCACTGCTACAAACTGGATTAGTAGTGGTGGTTTTTCTTTCACATAGGGTTTTAGGTAGCACCTCGTTTCCTGACTTAGATTGTTAGGGCCCGAGCACTGACAGTGCGAAGGCCCTATTGTAATTGCTCTGTTTATTATTATTATTATTATTTCGGCAAATGAATTGGCCTTTTGAGGGCCTAAACATGCTCGAAAACTCATGAAATTTTGCACACGCGTCAGGTCTGGTGAAAATTTACGTATTTTAATGTTCTCAGACATGGCCAGGGAAAATTAGCTCAGTAGCGCCACCTAGAAAAATGAAAAACGCGGGCCCCCCGTATGGGTATGATCTACATGTTTGAAAGTCGGTACACCTATATAACTTTCAGAGTCGAACAAAAAAGTCTATTATGGCAATGTCCTAAACCCAACAGGAAGTCCGCCATTTTGGATTGAAGGTGACATTTTGGCTCTGATTTTACCGTTTCCATGCCTCGAACTTTAACGAACTCCTCCTTGGGATTTGGTCCTATAAGCTTCAAATTTGGACAGTGTCAACTACACCCTTGTGCCATGTTAAATTGCGGAGCTTTTGAGTTTTCACAATACTATGAGGCCGTGGCGCCATGGCGAATTTCGATGACTCGCCATGAAAATCTTATTGCCTCTCATTTTGTCATACATTTTCTGACCTTGACCAAAGTGAACACATATGATAAGGCTCCACCCCTGAACATATTTCAACTGCCATATTTGACACCAGGGACAGCGCCACCTAGTGGGAACAGGAAATGTCATGTTTTACACTTTGGGGTACAGTATTGTGATGGGTGACATCTGCAGCCTCAAATTTCTCCAGGAAAGCCTTAAGGAGTTGGTCTTGGGTTACAGTGAAAACTGTGACTTTTCACGAAAGGGTGTGACCCCAGCAGCATGGCGAACTTTGATGTCACGCCATGAAGAAACAAATTAGTATAACTCAATGAAATCCAGTCTGATCAGTACCAGACTTTACAGGCATGATGTCAGACCCGCCGTGAACAGATTGATATGCCCATTGTCGGAAATACGGACAGCGCCACCTAGTGGCAACAGGAAATGTCATGGCTTTAACTTTGTTGTACTGATTTTCACAGGTTGATCGTGGCCACCTCAAAAGCGGTGAATATCACCATCAGTCCCTCGTGATGCTTCAGTGCAAAAATTGTGACTTTAAACTGAACGGCGCACCCTGGTGGCAACGCGGTTCATCATGAAAGATGAAGTGGCTTTTGAGGGGCTTGGAAAGTTTATAGAGGCTTGAAATTTGGCACACACCTCCAAATGGATGAAGGCATTGTTGTTATGTAACCATTTTCCTTGAATAGCGCAAAATGGCTCCACAGCGCCCCCTACAATATTTCAAAACATCAGCCCCTGCTCTGTGTTTCATCTATGAGTCTGACACTTGGTAAGCTTGTGTAAGATATCAAGATGTACAAAAAAGTCTCTTGGAGCAATATCCCAAATCCAACAGGAAGTCAGCCATTTTAAAATTAATGTGTAATTTTGATGACATTTTCCCCCCTTTTCAGGCCTCATACTTTGACGAACTCCTCCAAGGGATTTCATCATATTGAAGCATTCTTCAGTGTGTAGAATCTAAAGACCTTTGTGATGTTAAATTGCGAAGCTTTTTCCGTTCAGGGAAACGGGGTGGTCATGGCGGCACGTAGAGTTTCAATCACTCGCAAAAAGCAGTAATCTGCTGTCACTAAAAAACACAATGTCCAATCTCTCCCAAAGGTCGCAGGTGTGATGAGACTCGAGCTTGGAAATGTTTGTTATGCTATTTGTCAATAATGGTTAGAGCGCCACCTAGTGGCATGACTATAATCCTGGTTGAATAAGATGAAATGTTAGCTGGTGATTAAAAGCATGAAATCCATCAATGTGACATCACATCGGACGTGCCGGTTTGAGGTGTTGGCAGTGGCTCGACGTGCCGGGGGTGCGAGGGCCCTCATAACGCTGCTTGCAGCTTTAATTTTGTTTGTTATTTTGGCCTGTGTTCACCCCGGACTTAACATTTCAGTGTAGACACAAATAAACCACCGTTCACTTCAAAGATTGGCTTCTGGGTATGATTTGGGGGACCCGGGTGGGGTCACTTCCTTTCTTACCCTTATGTTATGGTCCTGTACCCCTAGACTGGGGAACAGCACACCTACAATGTCTCCAAAAAGTCGATTCTGTCCAGATTGGACAAGCTTAAAAACACACCAAGTCATCCACCTACAATGTGTTTGTTGACATCTTGGATCCCACTAATGGAGGCAGTTTCAGTTTAGTCCATGACTGCATTTCACTCACTGCCTCTGTTTGTATCTCTGTCACTGCAGGACCAACACGGAGCGAGAAGTCAGCGCTCTCAGGAGGCCGACAAACCTCACAGAAGAAAGGGAGAGAAAAAATACAGCTGTGATGAGTGTGGGAAGAATTTTACCCATCTTGGAAACTTTAAAGCACACCAACTGGTCCACAGTGGAGATAAACCGTACAGATGTGACTTGTGTGGAAAACGTTTTACCCAGAAAGGACACCTAAAATCACACCAGCTCATCCACAGTGGAGTTAAACCATACAGCTGTGAGTTGTGTGGAAAGTCTTTTACCCACCCTGCAAGCTTAAAAACACACCAAGTCATCCACGGTGGAGTTAAACCATACAGCTGTGAGTTATGTGGAAAGTCTTTTACCAACCCTGCAAGCTTAAAAACACACCAAGTCATCCACAGTGGAGTTAAACCATACAGTTGTGAGTTGTGTGGTAAAGCTTTTACTTGCAGTGGTAACTTACAGCGTCATCAACTCATCCACTCTGGAATCAAGGCGTACAGCTGTGGTCAATGCGGTAAAGCTTTTGCTCGGAGTAGCACCTTACAACGTCACCAAGTCACTCACTCTGGATTTAAACCGTACAGCTGCGACTTGTGTGGAAAGTCTTTTAACGATCCTTCAAACTTGAAAAAACACCAACTCATCCACAGTGGAGTAAAAGTGTACATAGGTGAGTTTTTTGTAAAGTCTTTTACCCAGGCTGGAGGCTTAAAAAGATACCAGTTCATCCACAGTGGACTTTAAGCGTATCCTTAGACTGGGGCTGAAAATAAAGTGGGGCTTGTACGCTCTTTTTGTTTGCCATTTTTTTTTGCTCATTGTGTTTTGTAGGTTTCCTTCAGCTTTTGGTTGGCAGCTTTCTTGTGGTGTAATGGGTAAACTAGCTGTAATTACTTTGATGTGTGTTATTTTGCACATCAACCCACCATGGCTAAGTTGGATCGATGCACCAAGGCAGATTTGTTGTTGGTGGCAAATTTTTTAATGTTGGTGTCCTCTTGAATCCAAAAAAGGCAGAAATTAAGCAGTGTCTGGCAGAGCAGATGGTGGAAAAAAGGGTAATTGCGAAGGTGAAACTTCGACCGGTTGATGCGTCTGGAGGTTTGGTGGTGGATGGAGGCTCCTGCTGCCGTTCAAGTCCCAAACATTATCCTGGCCAGACAATTACCAGAATTGATTACGGATGATCTTAAGCTTGCCCTTTGCCTGAAAGAGGTGGAGCTTTAGGCTAAAGCCAAAGAAGTTGAGCTACTGCATCTCCGAATAAGGCCTATGGAGCAATGTTACTCTACCCATTGAGTAAAAATGTGAGTAAAACTTGACTGATTCTCCTCTGACCAGTTTGATGCAAGAAAGCAAATTGCCTTAGTGCCACCTTTCAGAGAAAGTAAGGTTGACTCTTACTTTAATGCCTTTGAACGCATCGCAACCACTTTAAAATGGCCCAAGGACGTGTGGAGTTTGTTGTTGCAGTACAAATTGGTGGGGAAAGCACAAGAAGTGTGCACGAGCTTATTCATTGATCACAGTCGGGATTATGAAATTGTGAAATCCACTATTTTAGTGTTTTCTGAGTTAGTTCATGAGGCATGTTGCCAAATGTTTCGGTCCTGCGAAAAATCTGCCAACCAAACACATGTAGATAAGTTTGATAAGTAGTTAGGTGCAAGTAAAGTGAAGGATTTTACTTAGCTAAGACAATTGGTTCTGTTGGAAGAATTCAAAACGTGTCTTCCAAAAAATGTTGTTATGTACCTCAATGAGCAAAAGGTGGATTCAGCTGCTGTTCTCGCAGATGAGTTTCTGTTGACCCATTGCGCTACATTTTCAGCTGTGTGAATATACTCCGTTGTCTGCGCCTGCGAGGAGCTTAAGGGTTTCTCCTGCACATCAAACACACCCTGATCCAGTTCCCATGAACGTTCGTGAATGCTTTTATTGCCATGACACCAGCCATGTCATTGCTAATTGTCTATCACTTCGTCCCTAAGAGCAAACTCAAACCTGGAGAAAGCCAAAGAGTGTTGGTTTTCTCCAGGTTTGAGTCGGTTGGTCTCTATGCCTAATCCCGTCGGATCCTCCGGACCTTTCTTTCAAAAGCGTTCGCCTCACCTACTGGAAAAGAGGAGGATCGTGTGCTGATTGTGATTTTGTGTGACACTGGGGCTACCAAGTCTCTCATTTTGGATAGCGCGTTGCCTTTTTCTAGTAACTCGTTTTGTGGTGCTGATGCTCTCGTGTGGGGAGTGGATATGTATGTGTGTGTCACGGGCTCCGCTACACAGCGTTTTCCTACAGTCACCTCTCGTTTCGGGCCTGGTAGCAATTGGGGTGCGCCCTCGCTTGCACGTACAGGCGGTTACTATTATTCTGGGGAATGATCTAGCAAATGGAAAGATTTTCCCAATCTCCGAGGTAATTGAAAACCCCATCGATGATTTGGTTTTTGTTTCTGAATCTGCTGCTGGCAGTCTGCCCTCTGTTTTCCCTGCCTGTGTCGTCACATGTGTGTGTAAAAGCGCAGATACAGTGATGTTGATTTGTCTGACTCTTTCCCGTGTTCTGAAGATGATCCTGTGAAAGCTGAGCCACCTGTGGAAAAAACAGAAAAATGTGTGTCTGATAGCCTGCTACCTGCTACACCAGACCTGACTTTTGAGGTAAACAAAGCAGATTTTGTCCATGTGCAACAGAATGATCCAACTCTGGCCAAATGTTTACTTGCTGTAAATTCCAACGAGCAAACCCCCATGTTTACAGCATTGGCAACAACGTGTTAATGCGTAAATGGCACCCTCCCTCATCAAGTGATCTTGGGTGGAATGTATTTCAACAGGACATGGACAGTGTAGACACAAATAAACCACCGTTCACTTCAAAGATTGGCTTCTAGGTATGGTTTGGGGGACCCGGGCGGGTCACTTCCTTTCTTACCCTTATGTTATGGTCCTGTACCCTAGACTGGGGCACAGCACACCTACAGTGGGGCAAAAAAGTATTTAGTCAGCCACCGATTGTGCAAGTTCCCCCACTTAAAATGATGACAGAGGTCAGTAATTTGCACCAGAGGTACACTTCAACTGTGAGAGACAGAATGTGGAAAAAAAAATCCATGAATCCACATGGTAGGATTTGTAAAGAATTTATTGGTAAATCAGGGTGGAAAATAAGTATTTGGTCAATAACAAAAATACAACTCAATACTTTGTAACATAACCCTTGTTGGCAATAACAGAGGTCAAACGTTTACTATAGGTCTTTACCAGGTTTGCACACACAGTAGCTGGTATTTTGGCCCATTCCTCCATGCAGATCTTCTCGAGAGCAGTGATGTTTTGGGGCTGTCGCCGAGCAACACGGACTTTCAACTCCCGCCACAGATTTTCTATGGGTTGAGGTCTGGAGACTGGCTAGGCCACTCCAGGACTTTCAAATGCTTCTTACGGAGCCACTCCTTGTTGCCCGGGCGGTGTGTTTTGGATCATTGTCATGTTGGAAGACCCAGCCTCGTTTCATCTTCAAAGTTCTCACTGATGGAAGGAGGTTTTGGCTCAAAATCTCACGATACATGGCCCATTCATTCTGTCCTTAACACGGATCAGTCGTCCTGTCCCTTGGCAGAAAAACAGCCCATAGCATGATGTTTCCACCCCATGCTTCACAGTAGGTATGGTGTTCTTGGGATGCAACTCAGTATTCTTCTTCCTCCAAACACGACGAGTTGAGTTTATACCAAAAAGTTCTACTTTGGTTTCATCTGACCACATGACATTCTCCCAATCCTCTGCTGTATCATCCATGTGCTCTCTGGCAAACTTCAGACGGGCCTGGACATGCACTGGCTTCAGCAGCGGAACACGTCTGGCACTGCGGGATTTGATTCCCTGCCGTTGTAGTGTGTTACTGATGGTGACTTTGTTACTTTGGTCCCAGCTCTCTGCAGGTCATTCACCAGGTCCCCCGTGTGGTTCTGGGATCTTTGCTCACCGTTCTCATGATGAGATCTTGCGTGGAGCCCCAGATCGAGGGAGATTATCAGTGGTCTTGTATGTCTTCCATTTTCTGATGATTGCTCCCACAGTTGATTTTTTCACACCAAGCTGCTTGCCTATTGTAGATTCACTCTTCCCAGTCTGGTGCAGGTCTACAATACTTTTCCTGGTGTCCTTCGAAAGCTCTTTGGTCTTGGCCATGGCGGAGTTTGGAGTCTGACTGTTTGAGGCTGTGGACAGGTGTCTTTTATACAGATGATGAGTTCAAACAGGTGCCATTCATACAGGTAACGAGTGGGGACAGAAAAGCTTCTTACAGAAGACGTTACAGGTCTGTGAGAGCCAGAGATTTTCCTTGTTTGAGGTGACCAAATACTTATTTTCCACCCTGATTTACGAATAAATTCTTTACAAATCCTACCATGTGGATTCATGGATTTTTTTTTTCACATTCTGTCTCTCACAGTTGAAGTGTACCTCTGGTGCAAATTACTGACCTCTGTCATCATTTTAAGTGGGGGAACTTGCACAATCGGTGGCTGACTAAATACTTTTTTGCCCCACTGTACAATGTCTCCAAAAAGTCGATTCTGTCCAGAGTGGACAAGCTTAAAAACACACCAAGTAATCCACCTACAATGTGTTTGTTGACATCTTGGATCCCACTAATGGAGGCAGTTTCAGTTTAGTCCACGACTGCATTTCACTCACTGCCTCTGTTTGTATCTCTGTCACTGCAGGACCAACACGGAGTGAGAAGTCAGCGCTCTCAGGAGGCCGACAAACCTCACAGAAGAAAGGGAGAGAAAAAATACAGCTGTGATGAGTGTGGGAAGAATTTTACCCATCTTGGAAACTTTAAAGCACACCAACTGGTCCACAGTGGAGATAAACCGTACAGATGTGACTTGTGTGGAAAACGTTTTACCCAGAAAGGACACCTAAAATCACACCAGCTCATCCACAGTGGAGTTAAACCATACAGCTGTGAGTTGTGTGGAAAGTCTTTTACCCACCCTGCAAGCTTAAAAACACACCAAGTCATCCACGGTGGAGTTAAACCGTACAGCTGCGACTTGTGTGGAAAGTCTTTTAACGATCCTGCAGACTTGAAAAAACACCAACTCATCCACAGTGGAGTAAAAGTGTACATAGGTGAGTTTTTTGTAAAGTCTTTTACCCAGGCTGGAGGCTTAAAAAGATACCAGTTCATCCACAGTGGACTTTAAGCGTATCCTTAGACTGGGGCTGAAAATAAAGTGGGGCTTGTACGCTCTTTTTGTTTGCCATTTTTTTTTTGCTCATTGTGTTTTGTAGGTTTCCTTCAGCTTTTGGTTGGCAGCTTTCTTGTGGTGTAATGGGTAAACTAGCTGTAATTACTTTGATGTGTGTTATTTTGCACATCAACCCACCATGGCTAAGTTGGATCGATGCACCAAGGCAGATTTGTTGTTGGTGGCAAATTTTTTAATGTTGGTGTCCTCTTGAATCCAAAAAAGGCAGAAATTAAGCAGTGTCTGGCAGAGCAGATGGTGGAAAAAGGGGTAATTGCGAAGGTGAAACTTCGACCGGTTGATGCGTCTGGAGGTTTGGTGGTGGATGGAGGCTCCTGCTGCCGTTCAAGTCCCAAACATTATCCTGGCCAGACAATTACCAGAATTGATTACGGATGATCTTAAGCTTGCCCTTTGCCTGAAAGAGGTGGAGCTTTAGGCTAAAGCCAAAGAAGTTGAGCTACTGCATCTCCGAATAAGGCCTATGGAGCAATGTTACCTCTACCCCATTGAGTAAAAATGTGAGTAAAACTTGACTGATTCTCCTCTGACCAGTTTGATGCAAGAAAGCAAATTGCCTTAGTGCCACCTTTCAGAGAAAGTAAGGTTGACTCTTACTTTAATGCCTTTGAACGCATCGCAACCACTTTAAAATGGCCCAAGGACGTGTGGAGTTTGTTGTTGCAGTACAAATTGGTGGGGAAAGCACAAGAAGTGTGCACGAGCTTATCCATTGATCACAGTCGGGATTGTGAAATTGTGAAATCCACTATTTTAGTGTTTTCTGAGTTAGTTCATGAGGCATGTTGCCAAATGTTTCGGTCCTGCGAAAAATCTGCCAACCAAACACATGTAGATAAGTTTGATAAGTAGTTAGGTGCAAGTAAAGTGAAGGATTTTACTTAGCTAAGACAATTGGTTCTGTTGGAAGAATTCAAAACGTGTCTTCCAAAAAATGTTGTTATGTACCTCAATGAGCAAAAGGTGGATTCATTGTGTAAAGCTGCTGTTCCGCAGATGAGTTTCTGTTGACCCATTGCGCTACATTTTCAGCTGTGTGAATATACTCCGTTGTCTGCGCCTGCGAGGAGCTTAAGGGTTTCTCCTGCACATCAAACACACCCTGATCCAGTTCCCATGAATGTTCGTGAATGCTTTTATTGCCATGACACCAGCCATGTCATTGCTAATTGTCTATCACTTCGTCCCTAAGAGCAAACTCAAACCTGGAGAAAACCAAAGAGTGTTGGTTTTCTCCAGGTTTGAGTCGGTTGGTCTCTATGCCTAATCCCGTCGGATCCTCCGGACCTTTCTTTTCAAAAGCGTTCGCCTCACCTACTGGAAAAGAGGAGGATCGTGTGCTGATTGTGATTTTGTGTGACACTGGGGCTACCAAGTCTCTCATTTTGGATAGCGCGTTGCCTTTTTCTAGTAACTCGTTTTGTGGTGCTGATGCTCTCGTGTGGGGAGTGGATATGTATGTGTGTGTCACGGGCTCCGCTACACAGCGTTTTCCTACAGTCACCTCTCGTTTCGGGCCCGGTAGCAATTGGGGTGCGCCCTCGCTTGCACGTACAGGCAGTTACTATTATTCTGGGGAATGATCTAGCAAATGAAAGATTTCCCAATCTCCGAGGTAATTGAAAACCCCATCGATGATTGGTTTTTGTTTCTGAATCTGCTGCTGGCAGTCTGCCCTCTGTTTTCCCTGCCTGTGTCGTCACATGTGTGTGTAAAAGCGCAGATACAGTGATGTTGATTTGTCTGACTCTTTCCCGTGTTCTGAAGATGATCCTGTGAAAGCTGAGCCACCTGTGGAAAAAGAAGAAAAATGTGTGTCTGATAGCCTGCTACCTGCTACACCTGACCTGTCTATTGAGGCAAGTAAAGCAGATTTTGTCCATGTGCAACAGAATGATCCAACTCTGGCCAAATGTTTACTTGCTGTAAATTCCAACGAGCAAACCCCCATGTTTACAGCATTGGCAACAACGTGTTAATGCGTAAATGGCACCCTCCCTCATCAAGTGATCTTGGGTGGAATGTATTTCAACAGGTAGTTGTATCACAAAGGTTCCGACCCCAAGTAATCAGTCTTGCACATGACAGTTTCTCTGGACATTTAGGAATTAGAAAAACCATCGTATTCTGCATCACTTTTTGTGGCCAGGGTTAAAAACGGATGTAACTAGGTACTGCCGCTCCTTTCACCTTTATCAGGTCAGTGTAAAACCAACCAAGTTATTCCTCCCGCTCCATTGCATCTGATCCCGGCTTTAGGGGAACCATTTCAGCACATACTCATTGATTGTGTAGGACCGCTTCCCAAAAACAAAGTCAGGACGTTAGTATATTTTAACTTTGATGTGCGCCGCCACACGCTTCCCCGAGGCTATTCCGTTCCTCACTGTTAAAGTCAAAGCTGTTGTCAGAGTGCAAGTGAACTTTTTCTCCGCTTTCGGTTTGCCAAAATCTGTTCCAACAGACCGAGGGTCAAACTTCAGAGGGCCTGGTGGCGCCAGTGTCCGGCAGCCTCGCCTCTGTCAGTGCGCCCCAGGGTGGCTGTGGCTACAATGTAGCTTACCATCACCAGTAGGGATGGGTATCGTTTAGGTTTTATCCGATACCGGTGCCAAATCGGTACTTTTGAAACGGTGCCGGTGCTTAAACGGTGCTCAAACCAGTGCTTAAAGAATGGAAAACACAAACTTTGTCCAAGAACCTCTCATGTTCAGCTGTTTTTTTTTTTTTTTGTAAAAAGATAACAATGTTAGCCTTTTCTGCAGCTATAGGGCATATATGGTATCACTCTTGGCTGGAAGCAGTGCTTAAACAATGGAAAAAAAACACAAACTTTGTCCAAAATCCTCTCATGTTCAGCTGTTTCCCACTTTTTCTTTGGTCATTTTAGCCTTTTTGTCCAGGGTGAAGGGAGTATCTGCCATCAAACAAGAGGACAGCCGCATGTAGCATGATGATGTTGCTAGTTCACTTACATGCATTAATGTAATAACGTGGTTAGCCTACTCAACGTAAATTAGCTACTCACGCAGAGAAGAACGGCTGCTGCCACCATCATCCGTCATCATTCTTTTTTTTTTTTTTTTTTCTCGCCTGTCCCATTTGGTTCTTTAGCCATCAGAATTGTTGTCTGAAGACCAACAAGGATACCCAATGGATTTACTTTGCCAAATGGATCATCGTGGCATTGCCGTATTGGTCCATTGGTCGATCTTTGTTTTATTATTTATTATATTTTATTTTCAGATGTTACAGACGGGACAGACATGAGTGAGAGATAGGAAAGGGAGAAAGAAAAGGAAGGAAAGAAAACAGAAGGGGAGAGGGACAGTGAGAAAGGGGGGGAGAAAAAAAATAAAAATCTCCTGGATCACCTGTTAGAGAAAATAGAAAACAAGCAAAAAAAGACAAAAAAAAAACAAAGCAACATACTAAACACAACACCATCGCATTAATCTAGCTAAGTGTAAACAGCAGTAAATACTAAATATTCAATGTTGTTGTGCAGCACGCAGGACAGATGTGCTTCGAAGTAGCAGCCAAGAAAGGTGTAATTTGGGTCTACGAGCAGTGAACACCCTGTGCATACCCGTGTGGATCAGCGCTTGTATCCAAAGGTTTCCATGTAACGATCTGCTAGGGAGTGTGGGGGGGCCACAGCCCGTCCTCCAGGGTGTGAAGCAGGTATGAAGGAGATCAAAACTCCAGACATCCAGAGCCCCCAGAACACAAGAGACCATGGAAGACCAACAGAGGGGCAGCCCGCCACTGTTCCAGTAAGAGCTGAGGAGAGTCCCAGATGAGGGTTCACTCAGCAGCCGGAGCAGAAGCCAGGGGAGTTGCAGTGACGCGCCGGAGCCCGCCGGCCGCCAGCTGTGCCTGAGTGACCGAGCCCCAGGCCGAGAGCCGGGGCACCCCACCCCCGAAGGGGCCCGAGCGAGCCCCAGGCTCCAGGCCCCGATAAGCGGCCGCCAAGGAGTGAGCCGGTGTGTACCTGGACGCCCACCCCCAGACACAAAGAACCACCAACGCACCGACACCTGAGGGAGTCCGCCACCGGCAGGGGAAGTGGTGGTAGGTGAGATAGGCCTCCAAACCTTGGAGGGCCTGAGGTGTCCCCAGAGAGGTGGCGTCTGATACCCAGCCTGACATATAGACACAGACATACAGGCACACACAGACACAAACATCCATTCCCACCCTCATGCTCTCATATGCACTTACTCCACACTCAACCAACGTGGAGACAGACATATAGAGACGCTGTACACACGATCACACTCCCCAAGCGTACTCTACAAACCGGGTCTAGGTACCCTTGCCCCTGGAGGGGGGAACTGCACCCAGACCCAGGTGGTGTTACCCTTTTCCCTGCGGTGGGGAGAGGCAGACCACCCCGACTCCGTAGCAGCAGGGAGGCCCCACACTCCAGACCGCAGTCGGACGGCCAACTCCACCTAGCCCTCCCGCTCCAGCAGGCCGCAGAGAATGGGGGTGGGAGAAGACTCCAAACCTCCCTCCACCCGCTCATTGTAGTGTTGATGCATGTGTGTTCTAAGGTGCATTTAAAACCCAGGAGGGCATGGAGCTACCTGCCAAGGAGCAGCAGGTAAGCGCATAGTCCCTCCTGATAGCCCTCAATGTCTAAGTGTATTTAGAGGTGGGCAACGACGCCAGGGGTGAGGTGTACACCCTGATGGTAATTTGGACTCCGTGATTGTGCCCACCCCCAAGATCCTATATGTATGTGTAATGAGAGTGGTGAATAATGTGAATGTCTAAGTTGTGGATAAAATTGAGGCAGAGGCAGCCAGAAGGGACAGAGGGGGGGTAGCCTCTCTGCACCCTGGTGACATACCCCTACCTCCAAGGCCCTGCATGTGTGGGTGGTTGTGTGGAGCGGGAAGCTCCCCTGCTGACCCCAGTAGGCACTCCACACTCCGCGACCCGCCAGGGAAAGGGCCCAGGCCCATCCAGACCGGGGCCCAGTCAGCAGCGCCTCCCGGCCCCACAGAGCCCGGGACAGTCCACCCAACCCCACCACAGAGAAAACTGCACCCACCCACCACCACTCATCTTCCAGACTACATAAGACAATAGACGCCCAGCTGAGATCTTCCTCCACCTCTCCTGTATCTCCCCCTCCTGCAGAGAGAGTTCCTGAAGAGAGGAAAGCTCCTGCAAGATGTGACCATCTCCCCCACCAGTTGAAGAGCCCCCAGGTGGTCGACGCACCGGCGCACCCTGCTCCAGGCCCGGGCCCCATGCACCCACCGCCACAACCCCGCAACACACCAACCAGGATCCAAGCCCCCGAGGCCCGGCCCGCCCCAGCCCAGAGACGGAGCGCCCCCAGAACCTCACCCCATCCCGGACCCACCCAGGCCAGCCAGGCTACCCAGGTCAGTAAACCCACGTCCGTCAGCACAGACCCTCCCCTACCCCGCTGCACGCAGCCGCGAGCCAACAGTCACCTGAGAGCCAACAGAGCCCCCAACCGGACATGACCGCTACCCCGGGTTGAACCCCCAAGAAGATGCCTCCGGGAACCCCCCGACGCCCTAAGCCTGTCCTACCCCACACCCAATCACAACAGTGAAGGCGGGACCAAACTATGACCCCCCCTAGGTGATGGAGCTGATAAAAGGAGTCCAGAGCAATTGATCTATGTGTGGCAGAGGCTGTATCAAGACTAATGTAATCTAATAGATAATTTCTATATTGGTTAGAATTAAGATAATTTTATTTTTCCAGTTCATGAGGACAGTTTTCTTGGCTATGCATAGGGCAGTGAAAATCATATGGGCTATATTCTTCTGAAGTGACATTATCTAAGCTGCCCAGTAAACACACTAAGGGGGAGGTTGGAATGTTACATTTCAGACACTTTGATAAGTCTTCACATATCTCGCGCCAAAACTTTTGAACTGGTGGACAGAACCAAAGAGCGTGGATGTAATTGTCTGGTGTATGCCTTGACAGTGTGAGCAGTTGTTGGAAGATTAAAGCCCATCTTGAACATCCGATGACCTGTATAGTGCACTCTATGTAGTATTTTGTATTGTATTAATTGCAGACTGGGATTTTTAATTAATTTAAAGGTTTAAGCAAATCTGAGACCAAAGTTTGGTCTAAGCGACGAAAATCTGCTTCCCACTTTGCAATAGGAAGGGATATGATTCATCTAATTTAGAAAGTGTTCTTATATTTAGATAATAATTTGGGGATTTAAGAGTAAGAAAATGTGCCGCACTTAGTGGTGTTTGTAATCAACTTGACTGAGGTTAAATCTTTTTACTATGGATTTAATTTGTGATATTCTAAAAATCTTTTCTTGTGATCCCATATTGTGCAACTAGTCTGTCAAATGGAATAATTCTGTTCCCTCTAATATATTCTAAGTATTTAATTCCTCACAACTCCATTCTGGGAAATAATCAATTATTGTTTTGTAATATGTAGGGTTATTCCAGATAGGTACGTTTGCATGGGATAATAGACTCCGTTATTTTAGAAACTCCCACCATGCTGTCAGAGAAAAGCTGATGTTGATACTTTAAAGCATTCATGTCTTTGATGTTGAGCTAAAAATGTAGTCTGAAATCTCTAACCTGCATAGTGCCTGTTCAACATCTAGCCAGGGCTCAACTAAGAAGGTATGTTTTAACCATTCTGAGATGAACTGAAGCCTGTTGGCTACACTGGCAGGGCTAGGGCCAGGACCTATTCCGGTTTTTGGGGATGTTGCTCCGGTCCGATAACTGGCAACCCACCCAACGTGCACAGTGTGAGGTCTCGCAGCAAGCTATCAAATACGGCGCATTTCTCTGCTTTTAAAAAAACCCGCTATGCGTCTCCAGGTGTTTCATCGGATACGAGGTGTTACCTCCTTTGACAATATCACAGTATCAGCTTAAAGCACTTGTTGCTGCTGAGTTTGCATCTTTTACTGTGAAGTACAGCCAGACTATTGACCGCTTCGCCTTGGACATTTTTAATCTGTAGCTCTGCTCTAACTGAACGTACGTACCTGGACCCCCTACTATCCTGGAAACGTAAATGATTGGCTAGAAGTGTATCACAGCTCAGGAAAAAAAAAGCACTGAAATAACGCACCGAAATGTGCGCTGCTTTTCGGTCTGGTTACTACCGTTTATGTCAGAACCGGTGCCATCATGGCACCGGACACCGGTACCCATCCCTAATCACCAGTGTGTGAATGTGTGCGTGAATGGGTGGATGACTGGATATGTAAAGCGCTTTGGGGTCCTTAGGGACTAGAAAAGCGCTATATAAATACAGGCCATTTACCATTTACTTCATATCCAAGATTTTCACTCAGCTCATGAAATCGCTTGGCATAAAGCATTAAAAATCCAGTGTGTATCATCCCGAATCACAGGGCGTGCTCAAGCGTTTCCATTAAAACATTAAAAGCTATGATGAGAAAGTTCTGCCTCGAGTCAGGAAGAGAGTGGGATGAGGGTCTGCCTCTTCTCCTTCTATTGGTGAGAGAGCGTGCGCAGGAGTCCATAGGTTTCAGTCCCGCAGATCTAGTGTTTGAACACACAGTGCGTGTCCCCGTGGCTGCTCAAAGAGATCTTCTCTCCAGACAAAGTTCTGTGACACAGATTCTGTTATAGGCACCCCAGACTGTAAGGCAAGGCAAGGCAAGTTTATTTGTATAGCACAATTCAACAACAAGGTGATTCAAAGTGCTTTACAGAGACTGTAGAAGAAAGCGTCATGTGACTTCATCTCGTCAACCTGATGAAGCCTTATTTTTTTCGCGAGGCAGGTGTAAACCCCTCTTCGTCCCCTGCTGCACCATCAGCCTTGCCTGTAGTTGTGTCAGCGGCCCCATCTGAGTATAATCCAGAAAGTGATGACTTAGTTTTCATTTGTGCTAAGGGTTGCTCCCGACTCAGAAAATATTAGTGAATTTAAAATACCACCTAAAACATTTGGATGACGCTGCCCAGAATGATTTGTGCTCTCTGATCAAAAATCACCCATCCCTGATTGCTGACACTCCATCTCGCACCACTGTCATGAACATGACGTAGATGTAGGTGACCATCCTCCGAACAAACAACACACTTATCGTGTGAACCGAACTATTAAATCTTTTTCTTTTTATTCTTTTACTGGACAGAGAGAACACGACTCACTTGCCTAATTATTTTATTGAATCATTACTTTCCGGAAAGGGATGTGCACCAGGCTAAACCCTCTGCAGATCTAAAACATTACAAGCATATCACCTATGTTATAATCCGCTTGCTCCTCCCCTACTAAACCGTCCCTTGATCTATTTCAATACTATATGTCTACCCTATAGCTGCAAAACTGTCTGCATCCTCGCTCCTCATGTTATTTTAGTAACCCTACTTGATCTGTGTGTTTGCGTTGCTTAGTTCCGCTTTTCTGTACTTCCTGTTCTTCACAGTTTCCTGTTTTTGCACAGTATTTCAGTCTGGCTAAGCAATTGGTTTGTGAGTCAAAGCTGGCCTGTTATTAAAATACATAAACAAAATAATCAAATAAGCACTAAGAAAACATATATGTTCCTCAACACCTACCAAATGCGCAGTTTTTCAGCAAGAAGTTTCCTACTTTTGATTGATTGATTGATTGATTGATAATTTATTTCAACATGTGAACAATATACAAGTACATTTAGAAAAGAAATAAGAGAGAAAAAAAATACTATACAAATTACATACAAAAAACATTCTGATTAATTTACATGTTGAAAGGGAGTGGGAAGAAGTATACACTTATTTAATCCCACCCCTTTGCCATAAATTATCAGTGAATATTTAGTCAGCTTCCTTACTGATATAATTTGTAATAAAAATAGTGAACAGATTTCTGATATACTATATACTATAATATCACATCATGAATTTTTTGTTTGTTTGTTTGTTTTTAAATAGAGACATTCACTTAATTTAAATATTTTCCTTTTCTTTATAGATCGAGAAGATCATATTTTTATAACTCTTTTTGAACAGTTTTATGTTTGGACGTTGCTTTAATTCCATATTCAGTTTGTTCCATAGTTTCACTCCATGAACAGAAACACAAAAGCCTTTTCTTGTAGTACGTACCTTCATTGTTTTGAAGTTACAAAAACCCCTTAAATTATAACTTCCTTCTTTCAAAAAAACATACTCTGAATATTACCTGGCAGTTCTTTATTTTTTGCTTTGAATATAATTTGTGCTGTTTGGAATTTCACTATATCGTCAATTTTCAATATTTCAGACTGCAAAAATAGTGAGTTTGCTAAAAATGGTCTAGCTGTCCCGAGTTCTAGTACATGGAGTGCCTTCTCATGCCGAAGGAAGACAAAACCCCATGTTTTTGTACAGATTTTCAAAAATCTGACCAAACCGGACTCCTATCCTCTCCCCCGAATGGAAGATTGTGTTAATAGGGTTTGCTCTGCAAAGTTTGTCACTTGATTTATTAAAGGGTTATTGGCAAGTTCCCCTCACTCCACATGCATCAGTTCCGCCTTCGTCACTCCCAATCACTTTCTCCAATATATATCGTCATGCCTTTTGCCATTCGAAATGCCCCTGCCACATTCCAACACCTTCACTAGATAAGCCACAGTGGCTTATCTAGTGAAGCAGGTGGGTCCGGTGCGCCCCCTCCTGGCCAAAATTCAGGCTGTCCTACATTTCCGTGTGCCTCGCACTAGATGTGCGATTCGCCGGGACCTCGGAATGGCTGGCTACTATCGTGGTTTCTGCAAAAAGTTTGCTGATGTAGTTGCACCTCTCACCAGTCTCACTGGTGTGTCAAAACCATTAGTGTGGTCATCCACATGCCAGAAACCTTTTCAGTCTGCCAAAGCTCAGAATACCAGTCTTTGCCACTCTTGATTTTATGCGTCCTTTCAAACTACAGGTGGATGCCCGCGCCAGCTGTGCAGGTGAGGTGCTGTTGCAGAAGGATGAGCAGGGTGTTGATCATCCAATCGGTTACTTTTAAAGGAAATTCAACATTCACCAGCAAAATTACAGTACCATAGATAAAGATGCTCTTTCCCTGTTGCTTGCACTACCACATTTTGGCGCTAAAACATATATAGGTTGCAGTTCATCGCCTGTCTTTGTCTACACCGATCACAAGCCCTTTGTGTTTTTGACTAGAATACACAATTCCAACTAGAGGCTCATGAGATGGTAACTCCTAGTAAAGGATTTTAATTTGGAGATCCATCACAAAAAAGGAACTGACAATGTGACAGCAGATGTACTGTCAAGTGGTTTTCTCCACTCCTGAGTGCCAAACATCTGTAGGGGAGATGTTTTGTCTTGGGAAGGGCGGTGTTACGGCCCTGGCCAGCTGTATATTTTGTGGTGTTCTATGTCTTTAAGAATCTACAGGTCCTTCCTGATTGGAGAGCTGGTGGCGGCTGATTGATCCCCTGATCATGTGGCTGTTTTTAAAAGATGCTACACCAGCAGTTGTCGGCGGCAGCGCCTGACAGCAGCAGACCTGACCCTGGCTTCCAAACCTTGTGTTACCCATGTGTGGCTCCTGAGATTTACTGAGTTTTTGTATATAGTGTGTAAATTAGTTCACTTGTAAATGGACAGTGTAGACACAAATAAACCACCGTTCACTTCAAAGATTGGCTTCTAGGTATGATTTGGGGGATTCGGGCAGGGTCACTTCCTTTCTTACCCTTATGTTATGGTCCTGTACCCCTAGACTGAGGCACAGAACACCTACAATGTCTCCAAAAAGTCGATTCTGTCCAGATTGGACAAGCTTAAAAACACACCAACATCCACCTACAATGTGTTTGTTGACATCTTGGATCCCACTAATGGAGGCAGTTTCAGTTTAGTCCACGACTGCATTTCACTCACTGCCTCTGTTTGTATCTCTGTCACTGCAGGACCAACACGGAGTGAGAAGTCAGCGCTCTCAGGAGGCCGACAAACCTCACAGAAGAAAGGGAGAGAAAAAATACAGCTGTGATGAGTGTGGGAAGAATTTTACCCATCTTGGAAACTTTAAAGCACACCAACTGGTCCACAGTGGAGATAAACCGTACAGATGTGACTTGTGTGGAAAACGTTTTACCCAGAAAGGACACCTAAAATCACACCAGCGCATCCACAGTGGAGTTAAACCATACAGCTGTGAGTTGTGTGGAAAGTCTTTTACCCACCCTGCAAGCTTAAAAACACACCAAGTCATCCACGGTGGAGTTAAACCATACAGCTGTGAGTTATGTGGAAAGTCTTTTACCCACTCTGCAAGCTTAAAAACACACCAAGTCATCCACAGTGGAGTTAAACCATACAGTTGTGAGTTGTGTGGTAAAGCTTTTACTTGCAGTGGTAACTTACAGCGTCATCAACTCATCCACTCTGGAATCAAGGCGTACAGCTGTGGTCAATGCGGTAAAGCTTTTGCTCGGAGTAGCACCTTACAACGTCACCAAGTCACTCACTCTGGATTTAAACCGTACAGCTGCGACTTGTGTGGAAAGTCTTTTAACGATCCTGCAGACTTGAAAAAACACCAACTCATCCACAGTGGAGTTAAAGTGTACATAGGTGAGTTTTTTGTAAAGTCTTTTACCCAGGCTGGAGGCTTAAAAAGATACCAGTTCATCCACAGTGGACTTTAAGCGTATCCTTAGACTGGGGCTGAAAATAAAGTGGGGCTTGTACGCTCTTTTTGTTTGCCATTTTTTTTTTGCTCATTGTGTCTTGTAGGTTTCCTTCAGCTTTTGGTTGGCAGCTTTCTTGTGGTGTAATGGGTAAACTAGCTGTAATTACTTTGATGTGTGTTATTTTGCACATCAACCCACCATGGCTAAGTTGGATCGATGCACCAAGGCAGATTTGTTGTTGGTGGCAAATTTTTTAATGTTGGTGTCCTCTTGAATCCAAAAAAGCAGAAATTAAGCAGTGTCTGGCAGAGCAGATGGTGGAAAAAGGGGTAATTGCGAAGGTGAAACTTCGACCGGTTGATGCGTCTGGAGGTTTGGTGGTGGATGGAGGCTCCTGCTGCCGTTCAAGTCCCAAACATTATCCTGGCCAGACAATTACCAGAATTGATTACGGATGATCTTAAGCTTGCCCTTTGCCTGAAAGAGGTGGAGCTTTAGGCTAAAGCCAAAGAAGTTGAGCTACTGCATCTCCGAATAAGGCCTATGGAGCAATGTTACCTCTACCCCATTGAGTAAAAATGTGAGTAAAACTTGACTGATTCTCCTCTGACCAGTTTGATGCAAGAAAGCAAATTGCCTTAGTGCCACCTTTCAGAGAAAGTAAGGTTGACTCTTACTTTAATGCCTTTGAACGCATCGCAACCACTTTAAAATGGCCCAAGGACGTGTGGAGTTTGTTGTTGCAGTACAAATTGGTGGGGAAAGCACAAGAAGTGTGCACGAGCTTATCCATTGATCACAGTCGGGATTGTGAAATTGTGAAATCCACTATTTTAGTGTTTTCTGAGTTAGTTCATGAGGCATGTTGCCAAATGTTTCGGTCCTGCGAAAAATCTGCCAACCAAACACATGTAGATAAGTTTGATAAGTAGTTAGGTGCAAGTAAAGTGAAGGATTTTACTTAGCTAAGACAATTGGTTCTGTTGGAAGAATTCAAAACGTGTCTTCCAAAAAATGTTGTTATGTACCTCAATGAGCAAAAGGTGGATTCATTGTGTAAAGCTGCTGTTCCGCAGATGAGTTTCTGTTGACCCATTGCGCTACATTTTCAGCTGTGTGAATATACTCCGTTGTCTGCGCCTGCGAGGAGCTTAAGGGTTTCTCCTGCACATCAAACACACCCTGATCCAGTTCCCATGAATGTTCGTGAATGCTTTTATTGCCATGACACCAGCCATGTCATTGCTAATTGTCTATCACTTCGTCCCTAAGAGCAAACTCAAACCTGGAGAAAACCAAAGAGTGTTGGTTTTCTCCAGGTTTGAGTCGGTTGGTCTCTATGCCTAATCCCGTCGGATCCTCCGGACCTTTCTTTTCAAAAGCGTTCGCCTCACCTACTGGAAAAGAGGAGGATCGTGTGCTGATTGTGATTTTGTGTGACACTGGGGCTACCAAGTCTCTCATTTTGGATAGCGCGTTGCCTTTTTCTAGTAACTCGTTTTGTGGTGCTGATGCTCTCGTGTGGGGAGTGGAGATGTATGTGTGTGTCACGGGCTCCGCTACACAGCGTTTTCCTACAGTCACCTCTCGTTTCGGGCCCGGTAGCAATTGGGGTGCGCCCTCGCTTGCACGTACAGGCAGTTACTATTATTCTGGGGAATGATCTAGCAAATGGAAAGATTTTCCCAATCTCCGAGGTAATTGAAAACCCCATCGATGATTTGGTTTTTGTTTCTGAATCTGCTGCTGGCAGTCTGCCCTCTGTTTTCCCTGCCTGTGTCGTCACATGTGTGTATAAGCGCAGATACAGTGATGTTGATTTGTCTGACTCTTTCCTGTGTTCTGAAGATGATCCTGTGAAAGCTGAGCCACCTGTGGAAAAAGAAGAAAAATGTGTGTCTGATAGCCTGCTACCTGCTACACCTGACCTGTCTATTGAGGCAAGTAAAGCAGATTTTGTCCATGTGCAACAGAATGATCCAACTCTGGCCAAATGTTTACTTGCTGTAAATTCCAACGAGCAAACCCCCATGTTTACAGCATTGGCAACAACGTGTTAATGCGTAAATGGCACCCTCCCTCATCAAGTGATCTTGGGTGGAATGTATTTCAACAGGTAGTTGTATCACAAAGGTTTCGACCCCAAGTAATCAGTCTTGCACATGACAGGTCCTGTACCCCTAGACTGGGGCACAGCACACCTACAGTGTCTCCAAAAAGTTGATTCTGTCCAGATTGGACAAGCTTAAAAACACACCAAGTAATCCACCTACAATGTGTTTGTTGACATCTTGGATCCCACTAATGGAGGCAGTTTCAGTTTAGTCCATGACTGCATTTCACTCACTGCCTCTGTTTGTATCTCAGTCACTGCAGGACCAACACGGAGCGAGAAGTCAGCGCTCTCAGGAGGCCGACAAACCTCACAGAATAAAGGGAGAGAAAAAATACAGCTGTGATGAGTGTGGGAAGAATTTTACCCATCTTGGAAACTTTAAAGCACACCAACTGGTCCACAGTGGAGATAAACCGTACAGATGTGACTTGTGTGGGAAGAATTTTACCCAGCAAGGACACCTAAAATCACACCAAGTCATTCACAGTGGAGTTAAACCATACAGCTGTGAGTTGTGTGGAAAGTCTTATACCCATCCTGGAAGGTTAAAAACACACAAACTCATCCACAGTGAAGAGAAAGCGTACAGCTGTGAGTTGTGTGGTAAAGCTTTTACTTGCAGTGGTAACTTACAGCGTCATCAAGTTGCTCACTTTGGAATTAAGGCGTACAACTGTGATCAGTGTGGAAAAACTTTTGCTTGTAGTGGCCGCTTACAACGTCATCAATTTACCCACTCTGGAATCAAGGCGTACAACTGTGATCAGTGTGGAAAAACTTTTTCTTGCAGTAGCCACTTACAACGTCATCAAGTTACTCACTCTGGATTTAAAGCATACAGCTGCGACTTGTGTGGAAAGTCTTTTAATGATCCTGGAAACTTGAAAAAACACCAACTCATCCACAGTGGAGTTAAATCGTACATGTGTGAGTTGTGTGGAAAGTCTTTTACCCAGGCTGGAAACTTAAAAAGACACCAAGTCATCCACAGTGGAGTTAAACCATACAGTTGTGAGTTGTGTGGTAAAGCTTTTAGTTGCAGTAGCACCTTAAGACATCATCAAGTTACTCACTCTGGAATCAAGGCGTACAGCTGTGATCAGTGTGGTAAAGCTTTTGCTTTCAGTAGCACCTTACGACATCATCAAGTTACTCACTCTGGAATTAAGGCGTACAGCTGTGGCATTTGTGGAAAAACTTTCAGGACGCTAGGTTACCGCAATATTCACGTACGGATTCACACCAGACATGATGTTTACTCCTGTGATCTGTGTGGCAAACTGTTTACAACATATCCACACTTGCAACGCCACAAACTTACCCACACTGAGGAGAGACCTTATAAATGTGACCTGTGTGAAAAGGCTTTTAAAGAGCCACGTTTCCTGAGATTTCACCGTCAGATCCACACCAGAAAGAGACTATAAGTGCAGTTACTGTGAGGTATGTATTTGTATTTGTACTGTTGCCGCTATTTTGAAGTATTACGTGAATGAAGTTTAACCCTCTCAAGGCAGCCGTTGCCGATTTGCAACAGTTAAAAACTAACAACCTGATTACCCCACATACATATTTTATGAGTTTTTTTTACACAGAAGTACCACTGCAGGACTTGGTTGTGCATTAGCAACAAAAAGTTTAATTTGAGCCTGAGAGGGTTAATTTCAAAGCTAAATTAGACATGAAAACTTTATGGACAGAATATTGAGTCAAATCGGATACAAATCTCCTGAAACTTGTTGGAAAAAGTAAAGTTTTAAAAGCTCCTCCCCTTTCTCTCTGTCTGACATTCACAATCCAATGGATGCATCGGAGAGCAGCTTGGGGTCAGTATCTTGTGGCATGCAGAGTAGAACATCCAGGGGTTTAACCACCAATCTTCCCATTAAGTAGATTACCTAGAAATGAAGTCATTTTCGCCCAGTAAGCTGAGCGTTATAATGTAAACAGTAAAATGTGGATGTTTGCAGAAATGCTCTTTATTTCAGGCAATATTCGGGATAAAAATGTTGAAGGAATTGCCTGACCTTCACTGTCTGTGTGTCTTTGTTTAGAAGCAGAGCGACACAGATGGATCCAGTTCTCCACCCTGTCGTCACTGTGGTGGTGGGAAAGCGTGTCAGTCAGCAATGGAGTGTAAAACGACATCAACGTACACAGAGTGGTGACAAAATGAGCTACTGCAAAGAATGTGGGAAAAGCTTCCCCACATCAAGTGAATTAAAAAGACATGAATTCTGTCACAGTGGGGTTAAAAAGCAGCTTCAAGAATCTCAGTTCATACTCCAAACATGAACGATCCCACGCTGTAAATAGTTTTACTCTTACTAATGTGCAAAAACATTCACTTCATTTTCTGCTCTGTGCAAACATCAGCGTGATCATGCAGGACTGAAATCACTGGATCACAATGGATCTGAAGAGACAGTGAATAATCCTGGATGTTAAATTTATGAATCTGCAAGTATAGATATCTACGCCAAGATTTTTTCCCTTTCTTACAACCACTGATCAATGGCCATGAGTACCATTCGCAGAGAATAGGGATATACGTGAAAATGGAACGACCATCTCTGAATCGAGGAGGGGGCCTAAGGGTACATCTTTCACCATCTTACAACGCTATGATTGCAGCCATTCCCCAACTCTCTGTGAATGGTACTCATGGCCATTGATCAGTGGGTTTTGGTCAGTGGTTGTTGATCAATGGTCATGAGAATCTGCATAATTAAGATTAAGGAACTGACCTCCCAGCCCATTTGTTCCTTCAGTGGGCTGTTTTCAGTCATTATTTAAATGTACTGTTTATAAGGTTGGGGAAACCTGCAGTCAGCTGAGACTGAAGACGTCACTTGGATGAGTGACGAAACGTTTCTCCCACAAAACGCTACGTCCAGATGAACAGAATCAACTTTTGGAGATTTACTTTCCTGGATGATTGAGCGTGCATCAAGACGTTAGTAGAATTTAGTACTTTAATTTTTATGTAGCAATGGTATCTGTTATACAGAACTGATACTGCAGCAGTCCTCGCCCGTAAGTTTAATACATATTTAAAGATTTAATTTGTGCAGTATTTGCTTTTTTTGATAACCAGCCAGGGGCGGATCTAGAAGGGTGGCATGGGGTGGCAAGTGCCACCCTAAAATGATCCCTTGCCACCCCAAGTGCTACCCCAGTTTTGCATATGACAGTGTTGTTTATTAAAATAAGATAGCATTAACACTTTAAGCGTAATTACTGTCAACAGTGAATATAAATGCTAAAACTGAATATATTCTATAGTGTTACCCCCCCTTCACCAGTAACAAATGGTTCAGCCCACAGCAGGACCGGCTTTTTTCTTGTTTTCAGTAGCCAGCGATGCTTATGATTGTGTCGGAGCACAGTTTGAATAACACCATGGGAATTTCAGATTTCACACAGGTGGTCGGTTGTTACACTCTGGAAATGTTATTAACCCTCTGTGGTCCACGGACACGCTGCACCTCCAGATCACATGACTGATGTAAGCTGACACAGCAACAAGCTGCAGCCACGCTGAGTCTCTATTTCAGCCCACATTGAAAGTTCGGACTTCAAAGTTTTTAAATTTTAATTACAGGCCAGTAAATCCAGAGTTATGATCATATATATCAGCCACGCTTTTTTTCTAAACACTGTCGTCACATTTTTATGTGTGTGTTTTTTAAGCGTTTTCTAAAGACTGCGCGAAAACAGTAAAGAAAGGGGAAAAAAAGCCACCTGTTTCCTATCGGGGGAAAAATGTACCATGTCGACCAATTTTTTAAAAAAAGGCAACACGTAGGATTTGGTTGTTTAGGAAGAGGGAGAGTTTTGGGAGCAACGGCAGCGAGACAGAGTGAGAGAGAGAGGGTTTTTAGATGTGGGAGATTTGTGACGTTTAGTGTGGAGTGTATAGTTAGTGTGTTGTGTTGTCTTGTGTAGTTAGTTTGTTGTGTAGTCGTTTTGTTTTGTGTGTCAGTGAGGGCACTAATGAATGTCACAAAGGCACATTTGCAATGTAAACACTGCCACTAAGGAGAAAACCAGCGGAGTGATACACCTCCTGTTGTCAGGCCTGCAGGTTTGTCCCTGTGCTGTTCTCCTGTCTCTTGGTGGAAAAACTTTTTTTTTTAACTGGCACACATCATTTGTGGGGCATCTTAGTGCAACACCTGATTGTTCTCTCATTTTAGTTTTAGTAATACTTTTAAATGGTTGTACAAAATGAAAAAAAAAACCGGCAAGTGTATTGGCTGCATTTTTAGATAGATAGTTGTATATGTTTACAATATGTACAATTTACATTTGCATTTCAAGTTATGAAAATTTACTCAACATGTCTGTTTTTTTTTGTTTTGTTTTTTTTTACAGTAAAAAATACTACTAGGATTTTAAGTTCTTTGTGTGATTTCAGATCACTAATACTATTGCAGTATGTCAGTGAAAAAAACAACTAAATTCAGTTGAGCTGAAAAGAATGACACCAAACAAGGCAACGGGGGAAATAAAATAAAACAATTTGAGAGTGAAATACAAACGTAAACTCAAAAGGAGTCAAACATGGCCGGTTGTATTTCAGACCTCAGTGGGTTCATCCAACAAATCATGAAAAATTAGGTTTAAATTTTTGTTCATGACGGTTTAAGCTGTAACAATGTGATTGTTTTCTAACAAAAAACAGTGAAACTTAAGTTAGACCTGTGTTTGTAAAGCAACCGCCCCATGTTGTGTAGCTTTCTGGATTTTATACTTATTGGGCTACATATGTATTTATTATACAGGCTGTACAGTACATACAATCAAACTCACTTGTTTTATGTAACTAAAGTGTTTAATTATGTGGGCTACAGACAATAATTGAGTTACAGACTATATTTATATGAAAAACGTGTGTACTTACTGCATTTGACTCATTTTAACCATATGTAACCACCTGCGTATGTGTTTGACAAAAAGAAGACTTTGATTTTGCCACCCCATTTGATTTCTATGCCACCCTAAGAAAATTTCTCTAGATCCACCCCTGTAACCAGCTAACACTTATAATTAGAGGCCTCGTGAGTCATTATTATTATTATTGTATATTAAATGAGAGAAACTACATTTCTCAAAGAGAACACTATGATTTGTTGTTATGAGTATTAGGAGGTAATTAACATTGATTTGTACCATTACAATAATCCAGCTGGAGTTTCATCATTTTGGATTTTAATCAATGATTAATTTTATTATTTTCTGTTTTTAATTTGTTGGATTTTTTTATTGCTCTGTTGTGAAAGCTCAAGTTATTAGTTGTATTCAATGAACTCTGTAAAGTTTGTCTTACAAAACAGTTTGGTGTGAAAAATAAAGAAATGGTTTCATAGGTAATTATTTGAGCCACGATTTCCCTTCCTGTATTTCAGAGTAAAGCCTGAGGTGACAAATGAAAAATTATTTACAGTCAGAGTCAGATGAACCTTTTTCAAATGGAGGTTTATCAGAGGAGGAGACTTGGCTGTTTTCTTTTCCCTCACAAATAAACTGAAAAACAAATAAAATGCCAACACAGATTAGTTTTTAGTTTACCGTCCGAGGAATATGTATATGTAAATGTATATTTATTACCGCTAATCATTTTAAAGCTCAGTTTATAGGGCTGTCAAAATTGAGAGCAAACCAAATAACTGCTGTGTAATGCCCTCCGCTACCTTAGTTTAATTGGTCACATGACTAAAATACATAATGGATATTCCCATGCAGCAGTATATTAATGAGTAACCTCGTATTGTGGATGGATTATCTCTGTGGTCAAAGGAGCTTGCAAAGAAAAGCGTCTGGACTTCTTTAAGTTGCTTGAAGACGTTTCACCTCTCATCCGAGAAGCTTCTTCAGTTCTAAGGTCAAATGGTGGAGAGTCCCAGATATAAACCTAGTGGGAGTTTCCCCCCACACAGGGACAAAAGGACCCCTGATGATCCTCTAATCGCCTGAGCCAAGGTGTGAAACTGGGTGTGGGTCCCAATCAGCCAGAGTTTCGGGTGAGCTCATTGTGAAACCTGGCCCCACCTTATCATGCGAATTTTCTCAATGATAGACAGATCCTGGAGATATTCCAGTCTGGATTTAGGGTGAACCACAGCACAGAGACTGCTCTCCTAAAGGTTTTAAATGATCTTAGATGTAACTGGGACGCCCAAAAGCTCTCAGTCCTGGTGCTACTGGATCTAAGCGCAGCCTTTGATACAGTAGACCACGCTATTCTTTTAAACAGACTAAAACACATGGTGGGCCTCTCTGGTGCTGTACACAACTGGTTCACTTCCTATCTCTCTGACAGATCTTTTATGGTGAGTATGGATACATGCTCCTCTAAGATCCATGAAATGACATGTGGTGTGCCTCAAGGGTCGGTTCTAGGCCCTGTACTTTTTAATTTGTATATGTTGCCTCTCGGCAGTGTCATCAGGAGGCATGGAGTGAACTTCCACAGTTACGCTGATGACGCGCAGCTGTACATCTCCGTGTCTCCTGATGACACCAGACCAATGGATGCCCTTTTTAACTGTATCTTGGATATAAGATCTTGGATGGCAGAAAACTTTTTACAGCTTAACCAGGACAAAACTGAAGTTTTAATCGTCGGTCCTGAGGCTCAGAGAGAGAAACTCTTGTCTAAATTAGAGGCATTTTCACTATGTCCTTCGCTACAAGTGAAAAACCTGGGTGTTATTTTTGACTCTGAGCTTGGTTTTATCCCACATGTTAAACATGTAACTAAAATTGGATTTTATCATCTAAAAAATATAGCCAGAGTCCGCCCTATTCTCTCTCGGGCCAACACGGAGATGCTGATGCATGCTTTTATTACCAGTCGCATTGATTACTGTAATGCCCTGCTCTCTGGTCTTCCTAAGAAGAATATTTCAACTTTACAACTCTTGCAAAACTCGGCAGCTCGTGTGCTGACGAAGACCAGAGGGCGGGCCCACATTACACCGGTTTTAGAATCGCTGCACTGGCTCCCCGTGTGTTTCAGGATCGATTTTAAAGTTCTTTTATTGGTTTTTAAATGTCTTAATGGTCTTGGGCCTTCTTATCTCTCAGATCTGCTTTTACCATACGAACCCCCGCGGACCCTGAGGTCCTCTGGTACTGGCCTTTTGATTGTCCCTAAAGTCAGGACACATACTCACGGAGAGGCAGCTTTTCAGTGGTATGGTCCTCGTCTGCGGAACAGCCTGCCGGAGGAGCTCAGGGCCGCAGAGAACGTACATGTTTTTAAGAACAGGCTCAAGACCCACCTTTTTAATTTAGCTTTTACTTAGCGTTTATTTATCCTGTTATTCTATTATTAATTTAGGATTTACCTAATATTTCTTGATTTTATTCTTATTCATTTTTTAATCTTCTTATTCTATTTATATTTATATTTATATTGTATCCTGTTCTTATTTATTTTATCATTTTACCCTGTATATATCGTATTGCGTCATATCTCCAGTGTTTCCTCGGATGGCGCTCTCTGCACCGGGGCTGTTATTGACCGTGGCTGCTGGGTCTCTGGGGTCCTCTCAGCCTGGTTGGGGGGCTCCTTGGCCTCCCTCCTGCTGTGTGCCCAGCCCGGAGGCTGCGGTCT